ACGCCACCCTATCAACTTTCTCCTCCACCCTTTTCACATACTCTTCCATCTTCTCAAACCTCTTATAAACAGCTGTTGTAAAACTCTCAGACAAACCGTTTATGAGGTCAACCACTTCATTCTCCTGACCCCGACGCTACTTGTTGTACTGTTTTACCAATTGGGTGGAGGCGTACGAACCTCTTCATCCTCCTCCTCCCTCCCGCCAATTGGAGTTTCATCATCCTCGGCGTAAAAAACATTCTCAAGTAGTGACCCTACAACTGCACTCATATGCATTACCCCTTCTAGGTCCCGCATTAGGTGGTCTATCCCTTCATCTACTGCATCGTCTAGTGCTTTGAATGATGTAACATACTTCTCTCTCGCTTTACCCCTAGTAGCGATTAGGAAGGGACGGACGACTCCCTGCAATAAGAAAAAAAATCAATCAAATTTAAGCCATATTTGAAAGCAAGTGCATATTCAAAAGATTAATCCTTTAATTTTACTCGAGCCACTTAAATTTCCATGTCTATTTTGTCATAATCCTAATGGGTACACTTCTTGATATGTCACCGCAACATCCTAAGAAATTACAATCGCTCATCCGAAGTCTTCTTCCTCCCCCCCGCCTTAGCCAGGACAGGGACGACCTCATATATCCAAGCCTACATTGTAAAAAAAAAGTCCATATCATAATTAAAACACATATAATACAAAAAATATAACAAAAAACTATTAATATTTACCTGCATTGCCTATGGAAAGCCAAAAAAATTGTACATGCTCAGTCTATTCTTCTCGACAGATTGACGGTGCTTTAACGCCATGTCTTTTCCTTGCAAAGAGTCCATGGTTAGCTAAAATGATACCCGTCCCCATGGATAAGCATTAAAGAAGTCCATGTTGCTTGCAAGCTTCACCCAATCCATATTAACGACTTTTGTTGAGTCAGAAGCCAGTAGGATCGAATGCACGAACCATACTAAGCACATCTTGAACCTCTCTAAAGAAGTATACCCACCTTCTCCTATCCTCTCCTCTAAATTGTGTCCCGTAATAGATGCCTTCTCCCCCAAAACCTTTTTAGCCAAGTTATCGGCTACCCTACTATTCTTTATTCTCTCTTGCTCTTTCGTATCTGGGAATGTTTTATATCTTAAGCCTGACATCATGACATATTCCATCATCTCAAAACGTAGTGGCTTCCCATCCACCATGAACCACATTTCATTTTTTTTTTTTTTTTTTTTTTTGCTTTTAATTGAGTGCAGCAACATATAATGCACTCCCTGCCCCTAGAACGCATTTTTTCAATTTTCTTCGATATTCACAAAATGACCGAAACAACTCTCTTTGAATCAGTCCATACCCTTCTTTTGTTCCTATAAAATCTCCATTATTCTCGTAAAAACTTGCCAACTCAACCTAACTGTCACCCTTGCGAGAAAGTATGGTACCTTATTTTTTACAACCTCCAACCCATGGTTTTATAATTTACGCTCTGAAAAATCTACACAATCGATATAAACTAAATATTAGAGAAAAAAGAAACCAAAACAACTAATAGGCTACCAATTTAGGGGATATGGGCTTCGACGGCATCAGGGAGTAGGTGTTTTTGGCCTCAAGAGGACCGAGAAAGCCAATGCAAGCCGTACAGAGGCTATTGTGGCAGGTTCCATGAGGTTGGAGGGCTAAGGATTGCACAAGGTGGCTGAATAGAGGGGTTGGAGGGCTGCCCTGCATATTACAGTGCTGGCCACGCACAGCTGCGATCCCCAGCCCTCCAACCTCCCACAAACAACCTCCCTATGGCCCCCCTTGCCTTCCCCCATCCTCTGGAACCCAAACAAAGTCAGTCCCCCAATGCCCGCCAACTGCTCGACAAAACGCCACAACCACCGTAATAATAAAACCAACTACATATCCCCCAAATTCGCACAAATCAATCAAATTTCTCATCAAATTCAAAACAACAAGTAAAAAACGTACCCTTTCTTCCCCGACATCCTCCCTCGCCTGAATTCTCGCCGGCATCCTTCTCTTCATAACTATTTTTTGATTCTTCTCTCTGTTCTTGTGTCGTCGTTGTCTCCTCTGCCTCTGGACCACCTTGACTCATCGGATGATCCATCGGAGCGTCTTCTTCGACAACCTTTGAATAGCTCCTGCCGTCGGAGTCTAGGATTTGGAGTGGGGTTGGGTTTTCCTCCTCTTTGTGAATATCAACCATGATTTTGTGTAAGAAAGCTTTAGGATCGAATATTTTCCAGAAATAGGGCACTTTTATCATAAAAAATCATAGAAAAATCAAGGTGTTTGTGGGTCGTTTTTTGGGTATATGGCTTGATTAAGCGATTTTGACGGGTGGAGGTCGTTTTTAATTTTCAAAATTTAAACAAACTTCCGTTAATTATATATTATCCACATGTGTTTAAATCTTTTCAGTTTAACTTGTTTTACATGTTTAATGAATCTTAAGTATGTCACGTCAGTTTTTCTAATTTAAAAAAAAATTGCAAAATATTTTTAGGGTTTTTTTTTTAAATGTAAACTTGGGAGGTCTGACCAGTTAAATTTCCTCGTTGTTCTGGATGCTGGACATTCGGCTAACAAAACAAGAATATGCTGCAGATTGTGGCTGCAAAGAAGAAGCCTAAAAATATTGTCAAGAATCGATGTTGAGAAGGACCATGCACAGCATGTTCTTTGAGGTCCAAAGCTACTGGCAGGAAAAAAAAAAAAAATTGTGGCACATTCATAACCATGTGCATACCTTGACATGTACAAGGAAGTATATTACAAAAAACTCTGAGAAATCGATGGTTCAAGTTAAGATCCTAGCTCCTTAATAAACAAATCCTGAAGGATATAAATCAAACATGTTCATAAGACAGATTTAAATGGATTTGTTGTGGATTCATAATGCATAAAGCCGTAGTATGAATACTGATTACAACTAATAAATTACATTGAGCACCGAGGAAATTTAAGTGGAAAATACCGAACTTGCTCTGATGAGCATTTTGCCCCTGTTGTGGTTTATTCAACCTGTTCAATGCTACATGCAGCTTTAGCGATTTGTAGTTGATAGTTAAAATTTACATGAGAAGTGTGCTTGGTTACGAAAAAAAAGTAAAAAAGGGGTTTTTATTTTATTTTATTTAAAAAAAACTTTAATAGGGTATGCCAGAAAATTTAAAGTCAAATATATAAAATAGATAATGATATTTTTGAAATTTCAATACTTTAAATAATATTAAAAAGTATTTATTAATTTTGCCAATAAACATAAAATAGTTTATTTTAAATCCTAGTTTTGAGATCTTAATAACTAAACAACTTTAAAAAGATATTCCAAAATGCTTTAACTTTAAACAAGCTTCTTGATAAATAGATAAATCTAATCAAATAAATTCTTAAAGATTTTTGACCGGTAGATTAACAATTTAAATATCTTTTAGTAGTAATACCGAAATACTTTATTATATTGAAAATTCCTTTACAAAGCACCGAGAGATGATCTTACATAAGATCTGGTACATACTACAATACATAATAATATTCGACAACAAAGTTGAAGCTGCAACTTGATTGAAAAGTCAATCAATCTTGTAGAGGCACCCATCTGTGGATAGTTCAGATGGTTAGAACAAATTAAGGATAATATGAATAGACATACAGTCTCATGTTTGATACCCCATGTGAAAGCAATTATTTGTCAAGCATTTTCTAGTCGACGTTGCCTATATGTGTTGGGATTGTGCCTTGAATCCCATATTGCTTGGGAATGAGAGTTGCGAAATGACTCTTTCTTTTAAATAAACTAGTAGATTGAGCTTTTAAAATATCTCAAAAAGTGTAAGATAGACACAGAATAATAGTCATTGTGGGTTGTTATTAGAGGTGTAATTAGACTTTTTGGGATAGTGTAAAGAGTTTGTAATTTTTCTCTTCTAAAAATTACACAATTGTAAGTTTTTACTTAATAAATTGTTTTAGTGGATAATAGATGTATGCTAAATTGATTGGGCCAAACTACTTTAAAATTCTTGTGTTTTGTTTGTTTCATTTTTAGTTGTTGGCTTTAATTTTGCATTTGAGTTGTGAGAATCATTTTCTAACAATAGGCAAATGGTCCTCGCCTCCCTTTGTACCATTTTCTTATTTTATTAGTTGCAAAGGGTAAAGACATGGGCATTGCAAATAGAAGAATACTTGGATAGGTCCAGGAGTTGACATTGATATCATTGCACTATCCATCGCAAATAAGGCTACATACACCTCCCAAAACAAAGGATAATTGCTAGTGAGTACCATGATGGTGTACAAGGATGTAAAAAACCCAGCATTATTGAAGAACATGAACCACTACGATACCATGAGAAGCTAAAATTGCTTGACCTTTTTACCATCTTCATGACTAATTCCGCCTGGAGGACTTAGGACAGCCTGGTAAGTCGCAGTTGCCAATAATACAGCTACCACTAATAAATCAGATCTAACTCGATTCAAGTCACTTCCTTCCCATTCGAATTTGAAGTATTCTTCTCAGTTCATTATTTCTTCTCGAGACAAATTTCTTGGCGTTGGTGACATATTATTTTCAACTACTGGTAGTTCAGATTGGACCGGAACTTGAATTTCAGCTTGGTGGGAACTTGTGGAGCTCTCCGCAACAGCATATTTGAGGACCATTTCAATGTCACCATAGCTAGTTTCACATGGGAAAAGTAGAAGATCAAATATAGTTAGGCCACTCTGGCTCTTAGCATTTACTTGCAACACCCCATGATTTGTAATGTTGCACTTCAATAATAATTCTAACATCTGTTCACATCGTGCAAAAACAAAGTATTGTTATATTATAATAATAATGAAATAATGAAACACATATGGATCTTATTGATATTTCTAAAAACTCGCCTGACGATTTCTTCTAGCGGCAGCTAGGTGGAGAATGGCGTTTCCTTCCTCATCCTTCAGGTTTAGTATTTCTAGTTTATTGTTTTGCTTTAACCATTCCACAAAGTTTCAAGAGCCTGAAACTGGTTGTTTTTCACAGCGAGATGAAGAGCAGTTTCGCCTCTTACGGCTACCTCTGAAATAGTGGTACAAGAAACCGCAAGAAGATGACTAATTATCTCAACCCTTCCTTTGGTGCAAGCACAATAAAGAGGAGTCATTCCATTCATTCCTTTGAGATTGCAAACTTCATTACTTACTTTCAAAAGCTCTCGGACTGTCACGTTGTGGCCAGTTGCTGCCGCCATGTAAATAGCGCCAAACCCATGTTGGTTCAGTTCGTGAAGATATTCCACTGCATTAATTTTACGTCTGATGAGTTCCTTCACAAAATAAACGTGTCCAAGCATGGCAGCAACGTGCAGAGGAGTATCGCTGCTACTGATTGTTACACGCTCCAGGATCATCATGAAGAAGTTGAAGAAGAAGTTCAGTGTTTCCTTCTCTTGCAGCCATAAACATTGAGGGATCCATTTGTTCTAATGCAAGGCAGATTTTTGGAGATCTTTTGTTTCCTTCTTGTCAAAATAGATAGATTTCGAGTTGACAGAACAAACAAAATGAAAGACGTGCGCTGACTTATGCACAAAGGAAAATCCTGTGCAATTTCTTTGATGTTCAACGCACGAAGGAAAAATATCTGATCCCTGTATTTTTTGTTTATTTTGAAAAGGATAACTTTTTGAAAAAATAGTAAATGCATCCTTTAATTTGGCATAGGCTTGATAATTTTATTGTTTAAGACAAACTATTCTATATAAAAACAAAAATACCCTCAAAGATGTTTACATGTACAGTTAAATAAAGGATATAATGTTATACATATAAGATTAAGTTGATTTGGTTGATTTTATTTCATTTATTTTATTATTATATAATTAAGGTGATGTTGTTAAATCAAGTGTCATATACGTTCATCCCATATTAAGTCGATATTGTCAAATAACTATTACATATTTACATAGATTCATATAAAATTGGGATTGCAACTTTATACACATAATGTTATTGTTGAATAAATAGTCCATAAGTAGCTTGGTGTTTAATATGAGGAGAGGACTTAGAAGAACGGAGGAGAAAAGAAAATGTAGAATTTTGTTTGATTTAACATTTATTGATTTCATTAAAATAGTTGCACATTTATACTTATGGGTTCCCCTAAGGTATAATCAAATAATAAAAATCCCATATAGTTATAGTAATAACAAAAGTTTTCCCGTCTTTAAGTTTTTGTTGTAAAGATAAAAGGTAAAAGAATAATATAGTAATTATTTATTAACCATCGTGTTATAAATTACAATGGTACACTAATGACTTACTATCTCATATTCAAACTACACACATCTAAATTTAATAAAAGCACATTCAAATAAGAAACTTAAATGTGGTAATCTAGGTATTAGTCTTTTAGATTAAAAAAGCGGGTAGATTTGTCACTTTCAAAACCCTCTGTGTATTGCAATTAAAGCAAACCTCAAAATTGAAAATGTTTTAATCTCTTAAGATTTAAGAAGGGCTTAATTGTTACTTTTAGATTCTATTGTAGTTACGACTACAAATTCTCATGCCAGTCCGCAAACTGCGTCTGGAAAATTTTAATGCTGGGCGGTTGTTATGTACAGTCAACGAAACACATCCTATTGGTTAGGTTTTCACGAACGGGCCCAGTGTTTTACGAGGGTATTTAACGATTATACATAATTTCATATTGAGAATGGAAAATGTGATTACATAAAAAGAACACTCGTAGCATGATTAAAAATAAATATATTGGATGAATACACATCTATGTATGTATATGCCAGCCAATGTTACAACTCACAATTGCTTAAAGGAAAGAGCCGCAATTCTAATTCAATAAACAATTGAACACAACCAAGTAGTTAAGCGACTCTCCTCACGCAACTCTTTGGAACATGGACATTATGGAAGTGTGGCTCCTTTGGAGTGGTAGGTTTTCTTCTCATTGAGGACGTCGTAGGAGTAAGAGTTTTGTTGACTGCCTGGGAAGCACCATTGTCCATTGGTTTTGCTGCTACCTTGGTTCTACAGACCGTAGGAGATGATTCCTTTATTACACCAAGTTGACCGGCTGCCAACCGTGAATTAATTGTTTTCTTCTTACTCGATTCAATCCTGCAAAATCAGTGGGTTTAAACTTTAGAGTCTGAAGATCATACATTATTTGTCCGTAGGACAATAGCAATTGCTCACCCTCGAGTCCTTGCCAGCGCTTTCATATATGATAACTTGGTCCTTTTCAAGCTTCCCTCAGATCTTTTAGCCTCTTTATCTTGGCTAAATTCCTTCTCTGAAGCTGCAACCATACGTCTCTGTGGAGTTGTGGATTTTTTTCGTATTGCTCCTTCTGGAGTCTGTATGCCCATTCTTTGCTGCATATCACAATCATTGAGAATTTTAGCCAAATTTCTATATAATCATCCAGGAAGAAGCGCTAATCAAGATATTTGTTTTCCTTTCTTAGGACATAGACTTACAGGTTGATCCTTTTCTGTTGTTCTATCTGGTTCTTTTTCACTGCCTTCATGTCCATCACTGGTACACTCAATTTGTTCAATGCACTTTTCATCTCTCTGTAATCAGAAAAATAAGCGAATAAAAATTAGTCTAGATCTTTTATCGACCATAATGAAAAATCAAATTATTCTCATTTTAAAACTTACTTGGATAACTGCATTCTGAGGTCTCCTCTGCAAGTTTCCACCAGGGGATTTCACAATTTTTGTGATTTCTTTCGGAGGTTCATCACGATGTAGTTTCTTCTCCAAGTTTGCCTCCTTAAGAATTCGTCTTTCCTACAAGAAACAAAATACTATTTAGACACTACTGAAATTTTGTCTTCCAAATCTAGTGACCTTAAAAGATTTGGCATACATCAGTTCTTAGCCTAAATGGCTTGGGATTTGTGAGCTTAGGTTTTCTATAGTTCACCCCTTCAGCACATGCAACAGCAGCAGTGGAGTTCCCTTTAGATGTCTTGCCCATTCCTTTCATTCGCTGCATTGTTTACATACATATTTGGAAATTAGAAACTAAAATGAAGGCAAAGGACTTAGAAATACACATGACAAGAACAAATATGTATTCTAGCAAAGAACCCCACCATTCGAGTGCTTCTCTGCTCTTCATGATTGCCAAGAGTTTTCTTCTTTTCCATATGGCTGGATTTTAGATCCATTTTTCTGCAAACATTTCACATAAATAGTGATTATTAGTTGTTAAAGTGTCAAGCGCATAACGACAAGAACATAAAAAATCGAGAAGAGTTTTTCACCTGTTATCATCAGAAGATGAAGCATTTTCCTTGTCATCACAGTTGTTCATGACTTCACCTGCATTTTCCTTGTTATCACAGTTGCGCATGACTTCACCTGTATTTTCTTTATCATCAGATGCATTTTCATTTTCATCATTCTCAATGACTCCAGGCATGACCCTCTTCTCCGTAGTTGGTTTAATTTGGTTGTTCTCCACACTGCTTCCTTCGTTTGTCTTACTGTCCTCTTCACTTGGAACTGGGAAGTCTGCAATATCATGTTCTCCTTTATCCCTCTCTCCACAATTTGAAAGAGAGGTTGTATCACCTGTTGAGGCGTCTGATAAAGCTTCGCCTTTGTTCTCAACCTTCAGAGTTACTAAACATTCCTTGTCTTTATTGCTTTCATTAGTCTTACAATTACCTGATGTCAAGCACACTTCAAGAGAACCATTTCTCGATTTCCCTTCAATCTCCATGTCACTGGAGTCATTTTCAGTCTCTTCACCGGGAGCAGTACAGCAAGCCTGCAGTAAATCCTTCTCCTTATCCTTTTTCTTCAAACATTTTGCAGATTTGGCCTCCTTTGACCGGCAATTTTGGGAGCGCAGGGAATCATAGACCCGGCTTTTGACCTCTCGGCCTCTAAATTGTTTTCTTGAAGCATCTACAGGCAGTAGTTTATTACAGTTAGATAGATTCTTCTTTCCACTAGTGATTTCAAGCTTCTTCATCCCTGCACATATTGTCCTCATACGACTACTCAACTCTGCAGAAGTCTTTATCCTGACTGTCTTCTTTGGTGAATGAAATACCAGAGCCTTGGCCACAATTCTATTCTTTGGAACTGCAATGGTTGTTGGTTTTGGATTTCTAACAGTATGAAATGTACCATGATTCGAGAGGCGTTTTTTGTTCCGTGGACTGGTCAGACACTTGGCTAAAACAGATGATTGTTTTTCCTTCCCCATTGGCGTTCCACCATGCTTAGGAAGAGCTCTGCCTTTGACTTTACCATCAACCATCTTTTGAGATATGGAGGAGATCAGCGCCAATCTTGACACTCTAGACCTCAAAGGTTTTGCCGGAACTGTAAGCGGACATTTCGCATTTGCACTACAAATTTAAATAAACATAACAATGTTATTTCAACCTCAACATAATTATGCAACCTACAAATCACATGTATAAATTAAGTTCAAATAATTCAACTTCCATGAGGGGTTGAACTCCGATCCTCAAAGTTTACAACTCATCCCACATTCAATTTCAATCATTAAAACAACCTTGCACAGCTTAGAAACACCTAAAGGGCATAAAGAAATTTCCCCAAATACCTTGATTTTTTTCCATAGAGTGCTTTCCGAAGCCGAACATTTGGACTCCTTGCAGCCATGACCTGCACAAACATTAATTACTATCATTTACCCATTTCAATTTAGAGAATGAAACAAATAATAATAATAATAATAAACTAACCCGAAGAACAAAATTCTTGTAGATCGCTTCAGAATCCATTTCTTCTTCATGCTTTTGGTCACACCCTAAGGTTCAATTAACAAAAATTTAAAAACTCAAACTGTTACGATGTCGTATTTACCAACAAAGCTCGAAATTAGCATACAAAAAAAAAAAAAAAACCTGAAATGGAAACAAAAACCCTAATATAATTGAGAAAGAAAAGGCAGAGTAGAGTGACTAACCGACACGGAGGCAAAACCAGTAGCGATCTTCGATTGAAGAACGGTGGCGATCAGGTGCGGTGAGGTCCACGAACTTGGGGGCTTCAATCTTCTCGTAGAAGTCGTCTCCGAGAGATTGTGCGCCCTCAATCTGGATCTCTTCGTCCATGGCGTAAAGAAAGAAAGCGAAAGAGGGCTTGATGAAGGAGCGTGAGTGAGAAGTAGTACTGGTTTTGGCTATGGTGAATGAGTGAGACTGAGGCAACCGAGGACATTTTTAAATCCGTTGAAGACGAAGTAGCCGTTAGACAGAAGGTGTATTATTTGGACAAATATTTTATTATTGTCAGAGAAACGGGCCTCTGGGCCGGGCCGGACTGGAATGCGAGGTATTGCGTTAACTTTGGACCTGATATAAATACTACCACATTTTTACAACTTTATGACCCAATCCATTTTATAGGAAGTTAAATAAGAGATATTTTTATAATTGAAGTAATATTACCAAATCAATTATCACATAAATTCGGATATAAAGTCAAAAATTTTTGTGTATCGTATTATTATTATTATTATTATTTTTTTTAAGTTGTATATTATTATTTTTTTCATTTATGGGAAAATATTTCATAATGAATGGTTGGGGTCGTAAAAATGCAACTATCTCACGATAGTAATGGCAGGTCACTAGCGCAAATGGCAAGATGAGAGGGCAAGTGGAGGTAGGGTTTGAAAAGGTGAGGATGGGGGATCGAATGGTGGTGACAATAGTGATTTCTGATGTCAATAATGGCCAGAATTTGGTTGAGAAACAGTGAGATTGCGAAACAACTATTACAGAAACAACCAAATAAGCACCATTCGACGAACAATGAGCAATCAGGCGGAGAGGGAGGGAAAATGGGGAATCAGGTGGGGAGGGAGGGAAAATGGGGAAAATGGTGTCAATTTTACACCGATTTTCAGTGTCAGAATTTGGCTGAGGCGCGTTGTAGTCGCCAAAGATTGGGGTTTAATATTTAGGTAAGGTATTTTCGTCCTTACAATGTATTTAATAGAAATTGTTAAAGGACTATAATTTTTGGATGGCAAAATGGTATTTAAAAAATGTGAGGGTGTGAAATATTAGGCTCCGTTTGGTTGGTTTTTTAGAATACTATTATTAATATTCCCAAAAAAGTTAAACAGTAAAATACCTAAAAACTCACAATATTATCTAATATTACTCAACTTTTTTTAAACTCCCTAAATTTGTTAATTTAATTAAATACAGCTAAATATTTTTTTTCAAAATTGCAAAAACACCCCTAAACCCACATTATACCAGATTCTGATCACCACTACCGGAAGTTGGCTGGAATCTGATATAATGGTACACACCGGCTGAATCTGGGCAATAGTGCACCGATCTAGCCTTTTTCTGCCAGATCCACGAAACGACGGCCAATATATGGTCGTCGTTGACCATCAACGACGGCCGTATCTTTGGCTATCGTTGACGAGCAAATGCAACCAGATCTGGCCGTCAATGGCTAGATCTAGCCGTAGATCTGGCCTTTGCCGGCTAGATCCACCGTGGATCTGGCTGGCAAAGGCCATATCGGCTTAGAGGCTCATGACCGACGACTCCAGCCACCCTCCGGCGGTGGTGGTCGGCTGTGATTATTTAATGGGTAGGTTGAGAGTATTTTTGTTAACTTTCAAAGTTTTATTATAGGAGTGTTTAGTAAATAAACAAACATAGGAAGTATTTTTATTAATTTTTAAATCCTACACCGTAATACCCGTCCAATTCAATTTTTTTTTAACTTTTTTTTAAAAAAAATTTCTAAAAAATGTAAAAAAGTGAACCAGGAGCCTTAACAACTCTTTTTTCGGGTGGGAAAAAGTGCGTTAACTCGTAATAATAATAATAAAAAAGATGTGACATCTTTTATGGCCACTGGGGAAGTTTTTCTTATCCCATATCATGACTTTCCCATGAATTTATTATTTATCAGCCTGTCATAACTGCGGGGAGGATATAACCGCAATTCCGGTAAAAGACAGAGAAAATACAAATATCTAAAATAATTCTAAAAAATACAAAATCGATAAATACTTATTACCTAATTGGATATTTGGATTTAGTTTTAGATAAATGAAAAAGAAAATATCTCATTTAGTTCAGGACGAAGATACCCTCGTAAAATATTGACAATAGCAGGTGTACCCTCAATGTGACCCAATCAGCCCTAATCTTTCTCAGAATGCCAAAAGTAGAACTCAGGTTCCGTCTCTAAACCGATTGGGCTCTCTCTGTTTCGACCTTTTATGTTCGGATGTTTAGCCTCTGTTTAAATTATTTAAGGTCAGCTTTAACTTTCAGATCTTGGTACTCTCATAAATTCATAATGACTTTGTTCTGATAGATTTCCTATTAAACTCTTGCTTTAATTATTATTATTTTTGAATTATGTATGTGGGTGTCTTTAGATTTTGTCTAATTTCTTATATTTTTATGGTTAGATGTGATTTATGATCTTTTTTATTTCTGGGTTCTAGTTTTGTTGAGTTTCGGAAGTCCGTTTTGTTGGTTGTTTTGTTAACAGATGAAAATGTTTCCATTTTGGATTTGGTTTTGAACATGATTTCACTCTTCTGAATGAATTTATAATCAAAATTTAGGTATTGCGGTTGATATATTTTACTTTAGTATGTGTTGGTATTATATTTTTTCTTTTTCTTTTTCTTTATTTATAGAAAGGATGTTAAACAAACCAAGTATTTCTTAACAACCAAAAATAAAATTGAGTTCATAAATATTTCATGCTGATATTAAGTTAAATTCCTAGCATTGTCTTTTTTTTTTTTTTTTTTTCTCTTTTTGTTATATTTCATTAATACACATCAAGTTTTATAGATAGGCTTAATAAATAGACTAGGGATATTATCGTGAACCTTTCTGGCAATTTTGGTTAAATGTTGACCTCTGTGGTTTAATTTTTTTCACAGATCTGCCCTTTAATTTTTTCAGTTGAATTGTCATCATATATTTTCACTACTGTTGGTTGTTCTGTCAAGCAGTGCTAATTGGAGATCTGTAACAAATTTTAAACTAGGGAGTAAAATTGTGGGGAAGGTAAACGATATTAGTCCAAATTTATGTTCTCTATCTTCATAAACATGGGAAGTCAATTCTTTGCTTTGCATGAATTTCAGTTTGTGTTTCTCTGGTGTTATTTGTTGCTAGAAATCATTTTCTATTTTGTCTTTTTGGTTAGAGTGAGCATCAGTGAACCCTAATTTCTTATATGAAAGGAATGGTTTCCTCCGTATGAATTTAAATGTTATTTCTTGTCTTCATGCAGACTTCTTTTGATGTTCATTCCAAATGATGTTCCTTTTAGACTTGTACATACACTCCAATAATTGTACTCTTCACAAACTTTTTGCTGATCCGGGTAGAAACATGTTGAACATTTGGAGATCTAATTGAAGGGGTTGACTTCTGACTTTGTGTTAGCTATCTGCATGGAGGACCATACTTTTGTCATTGGTCAAGAATTTCCTGATGTAAAGGCCTTCAGGAACGCAATCAAAGAAGCTGCCATTGCACAACATTTTGAGCTTCGTATTATAAAAAGTGACCTGATTCGATACTTTGCAAAGTGTGCCACGGAAGGTTGTCCATGGCGCATTCGCGCAGTTAAGCTCCCTAATGCCCCAACTTTTGCCATAAGAAGCCTTGAAGGAACACACACATGTGGGAAGAATGCACAAAATGGACACCATCAAGCATCTGTGGATTGGATTGTGAGTTTCATAGAGGAAAGATTACGAGATAATATTAATTACAAGCCAAAGGATATATTGCATGACATTCATAAACAGTATGGGATCACAATACCATATAAGCAAGCTTGGCGTGCGAAGGAAAGGGGGCTTGCTGCGATTTATGGCTCTTCTGAAGAAGGATATTGCCAGCTTCCATCATACTGTGAGCAATTAAAAAAAACCAATCCTGGAAGCGTTGCGGAGGTTTTCACTACTAGTGCAGATAATCGCTTTCAGCGGCTCTTTATTTCTTTTTATGCATCAATATATGGCTTCCTGAATGGGTGCTTGCCCATTGTCAGCCTTGGTGGAATCCAATTAAAAAGCAAATACCTTGGTACCTTACTTGCAGCCACTTCTTTTGACGCTGATGGTGGGTTGTTTCCAGTTGCATTTGGTGTTGTTGATACAGAAAACGATGAGAGCTGGATGTGGTTCTTGTCAGAATTACATAAGGCTTTAGAGATGAATGCTGACACTATGCCAAGGCTCACTTTTTTATCAGATGGACAGAAAGGCATTGCAGATGTGATAAGGAGAAAATTTCCAAATTCTTCTCAAGCACTCTGTATGCACTACTTGAGTGAAAGTGTTGGCAAAGAGTTCAAGAACTCAAGGCTTGTGCATGTTCTTTGGAAAGCTGCAAATGCTACGACTACTCTTGCTTTTAAAGATAGAATGGCTGAAATAGAAGATATTTCTTCTGAAGCTGCAAAATGGATACAACAATTTCCTCCTTCCCGCTGGGCATTAGTACATTTTGTAGGAACACGGTATGGCCAACTCTCTTCAAATATTGAGGAATTTAATAGATGGATTCTAGAAGCTCGGGAATTGCCCATAATCCAAGTGATTGAGCAAATTCACCGTAAACTAATGGCAGAATTTTTGGCCCGGCATATGAACAGCAATTCTTGGTATTCTGTACTTGCCCCATCCGCTGAAAAGCGTATGATAGAAGCCATTAACCATGCGTCGAAGTATCAAGTCCTTAGATCAGATGAAGTAGAATTTGAAGTTTTATCAGCTGAGAGATCAGAGATTGTGAACATTGGGACTCATTGTTGCTCCTGTCGAGATTGGCAGCTTTATGGAATACCTTGTTCACATGCTGTTGCAGCACTCATCTCATGTCGGAAAGATGTATATGCCTTTACAGAGAAATGTTTTACTGTTGCCAGTTACCGAGAAACATATGCAGAAGAAATTCATCCCATCCCTGAAAAAATTGGATGGAGAAAGATTGGTGAGGGCTCAGATGATGACACACAGGTTGTGCGACCTCCCAAGTTTCGTCGACCACCAGGACGTCCAGAAAAGAAACGAATCTGTGTTGAGGATCTTAACCGTGAAAAACAAACAGTGCATTGCAGTCGGTGTAACCAAACTGGACATTACAAGACAACTTGCAAGGCAGAGATGATGAATAGTATTGAACAGTTTTAGGTTTCTAATTTTGTAAATTAATAGATTATATGAACTTTGTAGCCATATTGTCAACCAGAATAGCGTTCCCATCCCTTATGTTTAGTGAATACTTCTTGTAAAATAGGAAACCTCCACGCTATTTAACAATGTACTTGCAAGTTGAAACAACATTAAGAATAGTAGATATCCTGTGCATCCTAGTTCATGGTTTCAAATGTGTATTAGTACTTGTAATCTTGTTTATTAATTAGGGATCAGACTAACCCCAGATTGCTTATACAAGTCTTGGATAAGAATCTACAACACATTAGAATGCCCTTGTCGATGATACTTTACTCGGACAGCATCAAGGATTTCTCGAACGTAAATATTTAAACATCTCTTACAGTCTTACTCTCTCGTCTTACTAAGAATATAGAATCTAGTGAATTAAGGTCAATTCCAGGTATAGAAGTAGTAATTTCAAACCCAAAAGTTAAATGTATTCGAATACCATATTCTGAAGTTGACAAAAGCTTTTTTTCGTCATTCTGCAATTAGGCGATGAAAGCTCAGCGTTGGCTATATATGTTTTTATCATGGACAAATACATAAAAGAAATAAATAGTTGCTTGATTTAATAAATGAATCTTATTGATTGTGTTTATACATATAGTTCCATACAGCTTTCAAAAAGTATGGAACACAATGCTAATGCTAGAAAACAGCTATTCCAGAGTTTGCGTTGCATTGTCTATTAGCCCCAGTTTCCTAACTACACGAAACAAAGAACAGGCTTATGTTAGGTCCAAAGGAAGAGAATCAGTCGGACACACTGATCAATTGTACAACTGCTTGAATCTTTTGCAGGCTTCTAAAATATTTCCTCTGTGGCCAAAGGCACTAACCCTGATGAAACCTTCACCACCAGGTCCAAAACCACTACCAGGTGTGGTAACCACATGAATTTTCTCAAGAATCTCACCGAACACATCCCATGAACTTAGGCCGGGGAAATGAACCCACACATATGGTGCATTCTTCCCTCCATACACATTAAATCCAAGAGAAGTAAAGGTCTTCACTATGATATCAGTATTTTCTTTGTAGAAACTAACCACCTAATGCATAGCCTGCAAATTTTTGAAGTGCATAAAACTATAAGTGCTGTATTAACAACAATGTGATGTATGCCAGCGAGGCCATTAAAAGAAATCAGAGAGAAAGAGAGTAATTCCGTCAACTAAAACAAAATGGAACCTTCTTGTTTCTTTAATGAAGTTTGGCTGCATTTCGAAAAACTAAAATGACACTGACCTCAAGACCTTCTGGTGAAAGGCAAGCAAAACCACCAGCTTGGGAGATATTTGATGCACCATTGAAGCAAGTGCATACAATTCGGTTGAAGTCCCTGGCAACAGAAAATCCATCAGAAAATAAAAGCTCTTTTGGAACCACAGTCCAACCCAGACGAACCCCTGTGAACCCAGCATACTTGCTAAATGATGCGGTCTCAATTGCAACCTGCAATACCAGCAAACATTACACATAAGTGAAATACAAATAGGTTATATAGGAATTACACATAAGTGAAATACAAATAGGTTATATAAGAGTGCTGAGATTCAATTCAAAATGGCTGGGTAAACCATTCAACAGTGCAATGCAAATAGCTATTAAATGCACCAAGAATTGTTCTATAATACAGGACAATACAAATAGCAATTACGTGTATCGAGAATTGTTCAATACATATAAAAGAAAGGGAAAAGATATAACATGGCAACAGACATCCTGATTGAAGGAAGCAGTCTATTCTCTCTGGATAATGGTAAACAAGTTATCATAAAACACCAAGGGAAAGCAATAACATAACGATCAAGAAAATACAAAGCATAACCACACAGAACTTCATGTGGACAACTAGAAAAGCAAAGCAGTTTGATGAGAAGTCAAATGGTGATTCTATTCAAGAACTGAAGATCGCAGCCTTTTACCAGGAACATTTAACATGACAATTCTAAGACGCCTAACTAGGACTAAAAGCAATCAGCATACGATGCATAAGAAATAGAACCATTCTAAATGGCATACAAAATAAGACAGAAATATTCTCTATGGGATGTCTAATAATACCCTAGATTCTGAAGTTGAGAAATACAAAAATCATACTTACAATATCATAACACGAGACCATGCGAATTATCGTAAACAAAGTGTCATTACCATATAGGTCACAAAGTAGAACTGGAAATCTACTTAGATTGAGATGTCTAATAGAAAGTTTATAAAGTAATTACACTGAACTGTATTGTTTGACTATAGAACTCTGCTGATTAACAAGGGAGTGAGTATAAATGACAACAAAATAGTAAAAAGACCACGATAAGCATTGCAACCAAAAGTGAATGATCAAGTCAAGAACTACCTCTTTGGCTCCGACAATTTCAAAGATGGAGCGTGGATTATCATCTGACATATACATGGCATATGCAGAATCAAATACTATGATTGACCCATTCTTCTTAGCAAATTGAACCAATCGAGTTAGTTGATCCCTTGTTGCTGAAGCACCAGTAGGATTATTTGGTGAACAGAAAAATATGATATCTGTTCGAGCAACTGTTGATAAATCAGGAAAGAAACTGTTCTCTGGAGAGCACCTCATATATTCAATGTTTTCATACCTCTCAACATCTTTTTGGAACTTTCCTGTCTGGCCCATAATGACACTTGAGTCTACATAGGCCTGCATTTGGACAAAGAAAGCTCTAGCATAAGAGAATATCTCATTAGAACAAACACAGAAATACCATTCACTCGCAGGATTAGTATTTTCTTTCTTTGCAATTTGATCCAATTCAATCGGAAAAATACTACACAAACCCACAATAATTTGATTATTGTCAACAACTTTTCTAGATCAACCATCCAAGAGAGCAATTAGAAGGACTGTTATACATGTCTTGAAGAAAGAGGTAGTGGGAAAAGGCTGGAGCAGGTACACCAGAATTACATCAATGAGCCCCAACTTCCATAGAAACAATCCATCTTCCAAATGCCATTACAAAATGGACGATAATGAGAAAAACAAACTTGAAGTAAACATGACCATATGAAACAAATATAATTAAATGAAAAAACAAAATCACTCATACAACAAAAGAAAAAATTTCCTTCCATTTTTTAAAGAAATGGATTACCGGATATGATGGATCTTGTACTGCCATAGTAACATTAGAACCAAAAACAACCTGGCACAAAGTGAAAAGAAAGCCAACATGATTATGTTTTATAGATAAACTTAATGTCAAATCAACCAAATCTTCAAAAAACTTTGCTTAAACAACATCAACCAATGCTGGAAAGACCAGTAAAAGAGAATCATAGAGTCAAACGAATAACTTAAACTACAACATTAAAATCTAAACAAACCTGAAGACGAGATATATCACATTTTGCTCCATCTGAAACAAATATATCATCTTCCTCTATGCCGAGGTCTCTATAAAATGTTGAAGCAATTGCAGCTCTCAGCGGCTGCAAAGATTGACAATTTCTTTTATCCAACAATTATGGAAAGGTCATTATCAAAAAGAGATGGAAAATACAACAAATATAATTCTATAACTTCAAAAGAAAACCTTATCCAGCAAGAACCCTCAAAATCTTATGATAGTGCATGGTTATAAGACAGGAACCTATATTGAGGTAAGTGCATAAATTTACAGAATATTCAATCCAGTTTTAGGTATAAATGTCAGGTAAACACAAGATACCCTAAATATATTGCATGAAAACTTTACATGAGTAAATTGTTTATCTTGTATGCAATATGATAAACTAAAGACATCCAGAGTTTCAATATGTTCTCCATGATATTATATTATCTTCCAAGTGGTGTCAAGGATGCATGTGTAGCTTTTATGTAGACAAAGTACAAACATCTGTGTGAAGAAGAATTAAAACCTGACAAGAAATGGAAAGAGCATTAAAGAGCTGGTGCCTAAACAGAGCCAAATTAGATTCATGTCTGTTAATAAAATCTCACTGCAACACATAGACTGCTAATATCATGCACTCAGTCTGCAAAATTTTCAAGTTTTCATTTCATCTGGAAAATGTCATATGAACATGCAAGGGCAGCACTATATCTTCAGCCATTGAGCAAAATTGATTGGTAATAGAAAATTAAAGAGCTGGTGTCCAAACAGAGCCAAATATGATATCACATTGTTGATAAACTGTGATATAATAATGTCAGTTAAGAAACAAAATTTTTCCTTACCATTTCACCTTGTCCTGGTCCATAACCACTGTAACCCTCTAGTGTGGATAACCCATAAGTTCTCTGCAACGGAAAAACAATTCAAGCATGCATCACCAACAGGCAGAACATCACTATTAATATATGAAGTCTATGAGGTAAAAGAACCCTTCATTAACATTTTCTTTTTCCATGGAATATATGATGAATATTCCATCTCTAAAACACTAAAAGAAAGTATTGTTTGAGTTGTTCTTTTTTAGTAAGAATTTCGCAGCCAGTGAAATTGAACCATATTTTTAACAACTGAGAAATACCAGAGAATATTAAGAAGTTGTCATATAGGAGGAGATTGCTAAATGTATTATCATGAGTTATGGCAAAAAGACCTTTTAGAATCACTTAGATTAGGAGGCAAAGGCACGGACATTGCAAGCCAAAAGGAGAGTAGGATTAAATATGCATAAAGATTGCACGGTATTAATTATCAAGCTGAATCTTTCTTTTCTATTTGAAGAAAAAATCTTTCTTAACGGAAAAAACAAGGGAATTTTTTAGAAGCAGAGGAAGATGTTTCTTCAAGGCAAACTAAATAAATAAATAATTATAAAATAAAACGTTTAGGATCCGAAACAAAAATTTTCACACATTCGAGGAGGAAAAGAAGGATCCAGTATAGCTGTAACCCTTCATGATTGAATAGATCCAAACGGAGTGTCTGCTGCAGCTAACTGATACAAACAGTCTTGATACTTGAAAGCTGAAATTTGCA